TGAAAACGTCGCCAGTTCTTTGATACTTATTTCCATGTCTTCCGGTCCAAACTCAATGTTCTCCAACCCTATTCCGCCTGGCAGCTCCTGGAGAACTTCACCCCTCACCCTCCAATCCCTCACCCCTCACCCCTCATCAGCTCCCCTCATTAGCGATGCATTTATGCGGTGAGATGCACGCGCTGGAGCCTCGTGGGATGACTCATGAACACGCGTGTTGACAGCGCCTGGCACGCGTGTTGCCAGCGCCTGTCACGCGTGTTGCCAGCGCCTGGCACGCGTGTTGACAGCGCCTGGCACGCGTGTTGACAGCGCCTGTCACGCGTGTTGCCAGCGCCTGGCACGCGTGTTGACAGCGCCTGGCACGCGTGTTGCCAGTGCCTGGCACGCGTGTTGACAGTTCACTTTCTTCACAAAGCCACACAGACCACACAGACCACACATGCTGGTGGTGCTGCTCACTAGAGGTCCTACAGACCACACAGACAATACACAATACACAGGCCCAAGAGGTCTCACAGACTACACAGACCACACAGACCACACAGACCTAAGAGGTTCCACAGCTCTGACAGCCCAACAGGTCCCAAAGATCCTATGGGACCCATATTACCCAGAGGTCCCACAGGTCCCACAGCTCCAACAAGTCCCATGGGTCGCGCAGCTCCCAAAGCTCCAAGATAAGAGCGCTACAGCAGCTGTCTTATGTCGGATTATCAGCTCTGTTGCTGCGCTGACACTGCGCCAACACTGCGCTGTGGCTGCGTCGTTAGTGTGCCGTCAGTTAGCCGGAACTGCACCGACACTGCGCCGATCCTGCGCCGACACTCCTCAATTACTGCGCCGAAACAGCGCCGACACTGCTCCGACTCTGCGCCGACACTGCGCCGATACTGCCCCGACTCTGCGCCGGCACTGCACCCGTCCCTGCACCGACACTCCTCAATTACTGCGTAGTAACTGCGCCGACACTGCGCCGACCCTGCGCCGACACTGCGCCGACCCTGCGCCGACACTGCGCCGACACGACGCCGACCCTGCGCCGACACTGCGCACGTCACTGCGCCGACACTGCGCCCGTCACTGCGCCGACACTGCGCCGACACTGCGTCGACACTGCGCCGCCCGTCGCCCACGTATCGACCAAAACACGACGCATTAGCGGCCGATCTTATCGCGCCTAATAGAGCAGCGCCTGCTGCCCCGCCGGCCGGGGGAGGAGGGGGGTGACAGATGTAACGTGTAGCTGGCAGATGTAACGTGCAGCTGGCAGATGTAACGTGCAGCTGGCAGATGTAACGTGCAGCTGGCAGATGTAACGTGTAGCTGGCAGATGTAACGTGCAGCTGGCAGATGTAACGTGCAGCTGGCAGATGTAACGTGCAGCTGGCAGATGTAACGTGTAGCTGGCAGATGTAACGTGCAGCTGGCAGATGTAACGTGCAGCTGGCAGATGTAACGTGCAGCTGGCAGATGTAACGTGTAGCTGGCAGATGTAACGTGCAGCTGGCAGATGTAACGTGCAGCTGGCAGATGTAACGTGCAGCTGGCAGATGTAACGTGTAGCTGGCAGATGTAACGTGCAGCTGGCAGATGTAACGTGCAGCTGGCAGATGTAAC